CCACCAAGACAGACATTAATTTGTGGATTATCAGTGGAACATAGGGCACACTCGCTGAAATTTTTTTTGTAAAAATTTTATTTTTTTAAGTAATCTCTACATCGAACGCGGGGCTCCAACTCACAACCCTGAGATCACATGCTCCACTGACTGAGCCAACCAGGAACCCGTGAAATTTTTTAATAATACTTGGGGAGGAGAAACTTCTTTAAAAAAAAGTAAGATAATGAGAAAAACAGAAAGACGGAGAAAGTGAGAAAGAAGAAAGACCTGAAATTTGCAAAATTCAGAGAGATTATCAAAAGATTATAAATTTGAGTAAAATAGCAAATCATGTCATAAACTTCCAGGATTCCACATGCAAAAGGAACCCGTGGAATTAAATGTTCTATGATACACCTCTCCTTTTAACCACAGCTGCTGAGGCAAAGTTCCCACTAAATAAAATATAATTCTTTATTTAAAAGCTCATGTACTGAGTTTTGTCAATAGCATATATTAAATCAGGCACCTTTCTCCACATTGATTATCAATTCTCCTTTCTTTCCTAAAATAACACTATGTTTTACATTTTTATAGCATTTAGCTTTTCCTTTCAAGTAATAAATACTCAATAGGTATAAATTGAAAATTTTAAAAATATATATTTTGTATAATAATACTCTTCCCTAAAGGTACCCACTATTAATGTCTTCAGTAGGAACTTCAAATTGTATTATGATTAAACATAAGCAAACATATGCCTATATAATTTACAAAAATTACTAAATTATAAGTCTTTATGAATGGCATATTTTTGCTAAGAAATACATATATATTCATATCAACAGGTATTTTCCTGCAATGTTTTTTTAGTAGAATATACCAAGGCTATTTAAATAATTCTCTGTTTTTAAATTTTTCAGTGATTCTTCAGGAAAACATCCTGCTTTCCAATAGTGCTATTCTACTTTTCATTTTTTCATTTTAATAATCAAAAAGTACAGAAAAATGATTAACAACTATGAGAGAGCATTCAAAAACTGCCTTTATGCCTCTGCATTAAGTTCAGTGTTGGTTAGCTTTAATGTATATTGTTTAGTGATTATAACTATTTATACATTGTTAAGAAGTTTCTGAATACTGGTGTGGAATTTTTTTTTTTTAAAGATTTTATTTATTTATTTGAGAGTGAGAATGAGAGAGAGAGAGAGAGCATGAGAGGGGGAGGGTCAGAGGGAGAAGCAGACTCCCTGCCGAGCAGGGAGCCCGATGCGGGACTCGATCCCGGAACTCCAGGATCATGACCTGAGCGGAAGGCAGTCGCTTAACCAACTTAAATTTCAGAATTAATGCCTTAGCAAGGAAATAATTAAAACTATATTGATATAACTGAAAATTAAAAATAAAAATTATTTTATTTAAAATATTTAGGATATTTTAAGACTTGGTTATGAGATAAAATGATTCTCTTAAAGTTGGAGCCACCCAGGCACCCCCTGGTGTGGAATTTTTTAAATTATCTTTTGCTTCAATAGAGATAGTCAAATGATTTTTTCTTACATGAACTACTGATAGGGTGAATTATATTTATAGGCATCAAATATTAAACCATACTTGCACTAGCAGAATGAACCCTATATTTGAATGCTGCCTTGTTCTCTTAATATATTCATGAAATCTATTTTGGCATATATTATTTATAATTTCTTATCAGTAATTTCCTCTTTTGCACTTTGTTAGGCTTTCTTATCTATGTTATTCCTGTTTATTTAATTAGGAAACATTCCATTATCTTCTAAACTCGAAACAAACTGAAAGTGTTTTTAATTCTAAAAAATATTTATTGATAAAATAAATATTTATAGATCTCTTTTCTCCTGTCAGTATTTCCCATTGTTTTATCAGGGTATTTTCAAGTAAACATGCTTAGATTTATTATAGAGCATTTGTTATTTTGTTGAAAAAATCATTACACTGACTTCACCCATTAGATTTCTTATTGTTGCTGTTTATATTCTAAATTTTAAGTGAATCCTTTTTCCATTTCTTAAAAAAATAAAACTTTAAGAGAATCATTTTATCTCATAACCAAGTCTTAAAATATCCTAAATATTTTAAATAAAATAATTTTTATTTTTAATTTTCAGTTATATCAATATAGTTTTAATTATTTCCTTGCTAAGGCATTAATTGTGAAATTTAAATTTTCCCAAGAGATATGTTTTCTTTTTTATTATTATTTCATACTTTTCATAAATTATGATAAAAAACTGTCCACACTTCTAACTTGAGGGAAGATGTTAAAAGGTTTCTTTAGAGTTTATATATAAAATATAAGACTGCATATATGTATCACATTAACATTTTACAATACTTTCTTTTATCATACATAAAGAAATATAACAACATTAATATTTTTAATGGCTTAGTAATTTTTTATTTTAGCTGTCAAAAATGACAGTGATATTTTAATAGTCTCTTACTATAATTATTTTAACTTACCCTAATATTTATAATTTTTTGTTTTTTAATAAAATAATGATGCTAATAATACTTGCAAGTTTACCTTAAATTATACATTACATAAACTTTGAGATGTAGTCTCTTAATTTTTCTGATTATGAGGTTTTAACTATCTTCCTTTATTTTTCCTTTGTTTTTCACACATCTTTTTTTTTTTTTTTCCCTCTCAAGCACACATTTCAAATCTTCTTCACTTGGACTCAAATGATTTAGAAGTTAGACATTCTTTTTTCAACCTGCCAGTCTTGAAGACATGGTAACGTGTGTAACCTACACTTAAATAGATATTTCTAAATATGTTTCATAATAATATGATTTACTTCAGTTTCAGATTGCTTTCTACAAAATATTTCATCTCTTATAATTTTAATTTTTTGCTGCACCCTAATTTGTAGTTAGACAATACCAGGCTTTACTAGTACCAATGCTTATTGTCCTTTTTTATCACTGTTATCCTTTTTATTATTATTTAATTTCACATTCATATGCAGTATTTCCAGAATTGGTGTGTGGGTGGCATACTGAATGAGTCTTTGCCTGTCAGATAATCTGTGAGGTGCTTGTAGAAGAATGATGATTTAGCTGATTTAAATATCTTCAGTCACAATCTTTTAACCTCAAATTTTGCACTCATCTTTTATTGCCTTCCTGCATGGAGAGAAATTTGAGTCCAACTAGATTTTTTTTTTCCATCCTTAAGAGATAATATATCTTTTCAGAATGGGTCCCTGTGTGATTTTTTTTTCATAACTAGTGTTCATGATTATTCCTCAAAAAAACATTTTAAGCACATGTTCCATATCCTGAACATATAGAAACACTTATAATGTAATAAAAGTAATATATTTTATAGCTATACACATACTAACAGAAAAAAGGGAAAAAAACATAGCCAGTGGAGAAAGTTTAAAAAGTTTGATGTTAATATCTATCCAATGATGAGTTTATAAAAAATAAACTTACATCCTAATAGTGTAATTATTTCACAATATCTGGAAATATGTATAAACATGGATTTTTTTCACCCAGAAATTCCATTTCGAGGTACTTATTCCAAGGAAATAGTTGAACAAATGCAATGAAGATACAAAGACTATGGTTCTTAAAGTTTTAATCATAATTATCAAGAAATTATACCATATATACCTAGAGAAATTATTCTATATAGACCAATGGAATAAAATAGAGCAGAAATAAAACTTCATACATATGGTCAAATGATTTTCAACAGGGGTACCAAGATTATTCCCTGGGGAAAGGACAGGGCAGTTTTCAACAAATTGTGTTGGGAAACTGAATATCCACATGCAAAAGAATGAATTTGGAATCTTACCTTACATCATATACAAAAATTAGCTCAAAATGGATGAAAGACCTAAACATAAGGCCTACAATAATAAAACCTTTAAAAGAAAAACAGGGGAATCGCTTGATAACATTGGATTTGGCAAAAACTAGAAATAGAACAAAAAATCCCAGATTTTATAGGAACCACCAAAGACCCTAAATAACCAAAGAAATCTTGAAAAAGAACAAAGAAGAGACACCACACGTCCTGATTTCAAACTATACTACAAACCTGTAGTAATCAAAACAGTATAGTACTGGCATAAAAACAGGCACATAGAAACGGGGAACAGAATAAAGAATGCAGAAATAAAACTATACATATAAGGTTAACTAAATTTTGACAAAGGCACCAAGAATACACAATGGGGAAAGGACAGTCTCTTCAATAAACTGAGTTGGGAAACTGAATATCTGTTTGCAAAAGAATGGAATTTGACCTCTATCTTATATAAAAATTAACTCAAAATCAATTAAAGACTTGAACATAAAACCTGAAACCATAAAACTAGGAGAAAGCATAGAGGAAAAGCTCCTTGCATTAGTCTTGGAATGATTTCTTAGATAAGATACCTGAGCAACAGGGAACAAAAGCTAAAATAAACACATGAGGTTAACATTCAAATTGAAGAGATTTGCAGAGCAAAGGAAACAATCAATAAATTGGAGGCAACTTACAGAATGGGAGAAAATATTTGCAAACCATATATCTGATAATGGGGATAATATGCAAAATATAAAAAGAACTCATACAGCTCATTAGCAAAAAAGCAAATAATCCAATTGAAAATGGGCAAAAGAACCTAAGCAGACATTTTTCCAAAGAAGATATACAAGTAGCCAACAGATAAATGAAAAGTACTCAACATCACTAATCATCAGGGAAATGCAAATCAAAACCACAATAAGATATCATCTCATACCTATTAGGATGACCACTATCAAGAAGACAAGAGGTAAGTATTGGTGAGGATGTAGAGTAAAGGGAACCATTATAAATGTTGGTGGGGGTATAAATTGGTACAGCCATTATGGAAAACAGCATTGTGGTTCCACAAAAAATTAAAAATAGAACTTATAATTAACAGACAATAGGATTACCTTTGCACACATAAAAACTGAAAATGACAGAAGAAAGATCTGCTTACCTATTAAGCCAAATACAGGTCCTGATTTGTATACCAGTGGTTCTTAGGCTCTCAAACTTGAGTGTGTATCAGAATCCCCTCAAGTGTTTGTGGAACACAGATTGCTAGGTCTCCTGCCAGAGTTTCAAATCAGTAGGTTTAGGGTGGCATCCAAGAATTTGTATTTCTAACAGTTCCCATAAGATGCTGATGCTGCTAGTCCTGGCTTCACACTGGGAAACCACCAATGTATACTGACTTCACTATCCATTTTCACTTTCAGAAGGAAAACGCCTAATTCAAACTCTGCCACAGTCTGCTGACCCAAAACCAATGTAGCAGCCTCTTGGTGTCCTACTTATGATAGCCTGCATCAGCGATAGCCATGAAATGTGATCCCCTCTGTGATGAAATGGGTCAGCAAAAGCTGCTGCAAGTTATTTTTTTCAAGAGAGGATTACAAATTTTTCTTCTTAGCTTTGTCATTTCCATGTTCTAAAATTATATACAGTTTTTCATTGGTTAGATGAATTCCAAAAAAATTTGTTTATGCATACTTCATATCAACATTAAATTCCAGATGGATATAAAAGCAAAAGTAAACATTCTAATTATAGAAAAGTTGCCCAACAGGAAGCTTATCAGGGCACCTGGGTGCTCAGTCGGTTAAGCATCTGCCTTCGGCTCAGGTCAAGATCCCAGGGCCCTGGGATTGAGCCCCACATCAGGCTCCCTGCTCAGTGGGGAGTCTATGTCTCCCTCTCCCTCTGCCTCTCTCCCCACTTACATGCATGCTCTCTTTCTCTCTCTCTAAAATAAATAAAAATTAAATCTTTTTAAAGAAAGTTTATGAGATTGCTAGAGAAATAAATCCTTAGATGTGAAGACAAAAGGAAAAATAAAAAAAAATGGCTCAATTGACTACATAAGATTAAAAGTGCCTTCTCTATATCAAAAATATAATTTAAAAGGAAGGAAGTCCCAGAAAAGATTAAAAGCAATTCTGAATGGTACTGGAGCACTGGGTGTCATACGCAACAGTGAATCATGGAACACTACCTCAAAAACTAATGATGTAATGTATGGTGATTAATATAACATAATAAAAAAAAAAAGGAAAAAAAAATAAAAGCAATTCTGAGAGACCACTTATAAGTAGGCCTTATAAAAAAAAGTTTGTAAATATTGATAAAAATACATCAATAATCAATTAGATATAAAAGCAGTGGATGTGAAAATGCAATTCGTATGTGTTAAATGAACTCTGGAATTCTGAAAATGGTAATGTACCTTTTTGTGGTAAAATAAATGCAAATGAAAGAGGAGACAGCAGTGTATTTAAGAAGTACTAAAAACATAATAAATTTTAATATGTCTACATAGAATAATTGTTTCTGGTGGGATACATATATTAGCATAATAACAGCGATCAATTTTAGAAATTTATCAATAACCATATATACATACATATATCATCATCATGATTTAGCACCTTTTCTTGTCAAAATTTATCCTAAGGCAAAAAACTTCAAAAAATTGAAGCTACTCATTATAGCATATCTATTTTAAAATTGGAACTAATAATCTAATTATTGTATCTGTGCTTAAGTAAATTGCTTCTATCAATTTAATAATACATTATATGACATTTAACTGGCATTTAATGATACTCTGCAGCAATAAGGGAAACATAATTTTAGGTAAGTAAAGAACAAGCCAAATCTGTATGTATATCCATTATGTGGTAATAACTCTATAAAATTATATTGACAGTAGATGGAAGAAAAGATAGTCACTTACGAAGGACAGAGATTATAAATATCTTTCTTGTCTTATTATTTTTTAAATTGCATATAAACATTTTAAACAAGACACGCACACCTCCCTTCTATTTATCAGAGGAATAGCAACTAGGCTTTTGCTCCTTCTTTTACCAAAAAAGGGCTGTTACTATACTTTGGCAAAATCTGGCTGTTGGCCAAGTCCAGCCAGCGGTTTGCTTTTTGTATGACCTGTGAGCTAAGAAAGGTTTTCAGATTTTTGAATAATAATTTCCCTCACTGTTATTTTTGAATATAATAGGAAAAACCAAAGTACTGGAATAACTGCCATTATTTGTGAAATAATAAAACAAAAAAGAAAAGTTCAATGAGAGGATCAGCCAATATGATGTTTTCATTTATGTATTTTAGTTTCCTTGTACTATAGAAAGATACTTAAATCATCCCCTGCTTAAAAAATCCATATCCTCCTATTACTTTTTTACTTTTTGATGGCATAATTAGAAATATGAAATGCCGTGTTCCCTTCCCTCTCTACTACTAAATTATTAAATTGTAAAAACAATGTTCTGTACATTTTAAGGTTATCTTGACCTGGCTACAGCCTTTCTGGGTATGTAAAAAACTAAGAGGGCTCCCTTACCTGTCATGATTCACTGCCTTGAAATGAATCTACCCACACTCAACACCAGGATGTGCTGAAAGTCTAAGGAAATGTACAGTGAAGTGGATCCACCTAAACACAAAGAAAGAGATGAGGGTGCTGAATCTGGCAGGCCCTTTTGCAGAAAACATCTTGGTTTCTTTTAAATTTGCAGGTAGTACTTTATGCAATGCTGCACTGAAAACAAAACAACAAGAAAAGTGGTTTTCTACTGCCATTATTACTTATGAAATATGGAAACAAGTATGCAATTCAAACATGGCATTTTTGTATGGAAACTGTCTTCTGTACTACTAAAAATAAAGTGGTACATGCAGCAAGAGAAGAATTAAGGAGTACAATAATTATAAAATAAAAAACAAAACAAAAATTGAAGTCTCCTTTTACTCTGACCTGTTCCCTCTCTCTCTAGGGTAAGTACTGCTCAGTTTTTAACTTTTATTTTCTGTTCTTTTTTTAAAACAAATATATATTGGAACCTGTATATATGCATGTCATCTCCTATATAAACGCAAAATTGTATTCTCTCCATTTTTCCCCTTTGCTCTTATGAATTTAATGTATTTTGAAACTCTGTTCATAATACCTTTAAAAATTGTCATTCTCTCTAATGCCTGTGTGGTTCACCAGAGATTGCAAGAATCTATACCATAAAATAAATCATATTCCCCTGATTGAGCTCTCAATTCCCCTTGATTGAGCTTTCAATGATCCCTATAATTTATAAATTGATCAAATCTTTTGAACAACCAAATGAGTTTTACTAATAATTAGTGTAATTTTGAATAATCAAATATTTATATAACTGTCATTTAAAAACTTACTAGCATGAGATGAGATTCACTTATTCTCTCAAGACTCATCTTTGACAGTGCCACGTGCTAGTCACTGAGGTAGAACACACTTTAGGAAGGCAAAAGTCACTCAGACATAGGCAAGCAAATGCAGAGAGTTGTTCTGCCCTCTGTACGGATGGAGGTCTTTGTTGGGTTCAGAATTTGGAGCTGATAAAGGCTCTGCTACAGACATGAGTTGCTCCTTCTCTGTATCTTTCAAACTCAGGTGAAATTGAAACAGGAATCATTTATATTTATTGCCTTATCCTTTATCCATTTAGATACACAGAATAAAGATTCACAGAATGAAAAAATCTGACACAGCTTAACAGATGTTGATCATACAGGCTGGTTTTGGAAGAAAGAAAGCAAATAAAAAAAAGGGGGGTATGGGTTTCTATGCAGTTCAATCTTTTGTTAGTACAAACATTTCTTGGGAAATCAGAAATCAAATTTGCTTTGAGTAAAGCCTATGGTATAAATTATTCCCTAGACACATTATTTTATGCTTATTTGCTTTAAAAAGTATTAAAATTTAGGGAGAATAGAAAACATAATTATTTCAGTGGGTATACACTGGTGTTTGTTTATTTAGCTTTAGATTAGAGACTTAAAAACATGTTTAGAGTTGTGCATTTTCTAAAGCCAAATACTTGCAAATTAAAATGTTAAGCTTTGAAATGGTAATCTAATTACCACATAAACAAAAGTAAAAGGGGAACAACAAGATGGGACAGTATTGGCAAAATATACTAAAGTGGAAGAGTTAATTTCCTTAGAAGACATGTTAGGATCACAAGTCAAAGATACCATAAAAAAAGAAAAACACCTAAACAGGAAGAAAAGTAAAGATAAAAACACATGTACACATAGACACTCAAATATTTAACAAATGCAGACAAAATGAAACAAAACAAGTTCACTCTGATAAATAATAAAATAAATGAAAATTAGATAAAAAAGGGTAACTCTCTTCTACCTCTACCACAGGCCCAATCCATCAACAATTCTTACAGTTACTTTCAAGATAAAGTGAGGCTTTGTCCCTTGTGACCTCCTTAGTCTAAGGCACTGCCATTACTAACCTGAACTATTACAAGAAAACTCTGCAATTCCACTCTTGCTTTTCTCAAATCTTATCCTACACTGAACACTCAGAATTATATTTTAAAAATATAAATAAACCATGCCATTCCTGTGCTCAATGCTCTGCTCTAGGTTGCTGCTTCTAGAAAGGGCAGGGCAATATATACCCATGGCAGATGAGGAAGGCCCCTAATCAATATGCTCACAGGTTTCTACTTCTTAGGCATCTGCAAATGTGTAGTGAGTTGGGCCACTTGGTTGCTTTTCAAAGGAATATACCTTAACTTATTAGACACTTGTGGAAGGGGTATATTATGTTACTAAGAATGCAGACCCAGGGGTGCCTGGGTGGCTCAGTCATTAAGAGTCTGCCTTCACCTCAGGTCATGATCCCAGGGTCCTGGCATCAGGCTCCCTGCTCAGCGGGGAGTCTGCTTCTCCCTCTCCCATTCCCCCTGCTTGTGTTCCCTCTCTCGCTGTCTCTCTGTCAAATAAATAAATAAAATCTTAAAAAAAAAAAAAAGAATGCAAACCCAAACTAAGCAAGTTGGAAATTGTTTTGTGTCTTGTGCCAACACTGAATTATATTCGGAAATAGCCAGTAAGGTTAAAATGTGCTTCTCTCAAACTCCAGCACAAGCATCCCTTCCCCATTGTCCCCTCATTTATAATTTCTGTCTGCTACTCTAATGTAGTCTGCATCAGGACCATTATTCTTGGGGCCCCTTTCCTATATAAGTAAATCCTTGGCTTAAGGTGCCTTTCCTTCAACCAGCCTACAGTATATGTTAAAATTTCTCAAAGCATTCTTCAAGCAGATGGCATTTGTTTAAAGTTAGCACTGCTGCGTAACAAATTAATCAAAATTTAGCAGCTCCAAACACCGAATTTTTATGCTCACTGTTTCTGGGGACAGGAGTTTGGACAGGACACAGCAGGGATGGCTTTTTTCTACTCCACAGTGTCTGGGGCTTCTGCTGAGAAGATTCAAAGAATGGTAATATCCCTGAATGTTTGTTCACTCCCATGTCTGGCACCTGAGCTGCAATGACTCGAGCATAGGGCTGAGAGTTATGTGTGACTTCCTTGCAGCATGGCAGACTCAGGCTAGTCTTAACTTAATGGTTCAGGGCTTTAACCATGAGTGTTACAACCAAACAAGGCAGAAACTACATCACCTTTTATGACTCAGCCTCGGGAGTCACAAAACTGGTTGAAATCCAAGTAGACAAAAGCCTGACCAGATTGCCAAAAGGAAGGGAGTGTGTCAAAGAAATGGGGGATCATGTTTTAAAACCTTCTCTGCACTGATTCTTGTACTGATACAGTTATCTTTCCTCACCTTTATACTCTTTTTGTCATTGTTGTGGAATTTAAAAGATTAGGGTGTTGCAGAAAGAAGTAGAAATGAACATGGGTATTTGAAAACAAATCTGATCGAGTCCTGTTGATTAGAGTCCTGTTGATGATGAAAGTGATGTTGATGTTTTACTTATTAAAGTTCTTGGACATTTCAAATTTACGTGGAATTCATGAATATGGCAAGTCATTATAAAATCAAAGATAACACACAGAACTTGGAAACAAAAATCAGGCAACAATTAATGAAAAAATTGAAAACAACAGGAAAGATGAATCTCTTTGCATATTTTTTTGGTATTACAAGAAGTAGCAATAAAATGTATATATATAAACATATATGTGTGTGTATATATAATTTTTGTTGGATGTTAAGTAATTTTACTAAAAGGTACCACAGAGGAAGGAAGGTAGTACAGAAGATATGGGAAGACAGCAGAGGCTTTAAATATAAGCAGAAATAACATCCTGCAACCAATTTTTTAAAAGTAAAGCGTGTGTGTATGTGTGTGTGTGTGTGTGTGTGTGTGTGTGTCTAGTCAAATGTACTTATATCTCAAGTAAATTTATGGAGCTAGGTCTTCCCTTTAAGGAAATAGTTTTGATATGCATGGTATGCAACATATTTGGTATATTTTTGTTTAAATATTTATAACTAGATATAGATAGTAATTTAAATTGTGCTAAATATATTTTAACGCTTTTTATTTTCACAGTATCTTAAAACATGTTCATTTAAGGACTATAAGGGCTATAATTTCAATCATTAGCTCTTTATAAGGTAGGCTTTTAGAAATATCAGTTCAGAGAGAATTCTGGGTAATTAATGGCTATTTAGGACTTTGCTCTATATACCTTTCTTAAAATTAAGATATTTTTATAGTAGGAATACTCTGCTGCTAACACACAAATGTCCTTTAAAAACAGATGGAATTTTTATACTCAAGGGTCCAATTAGTGCTTCTTAGTGAATTCTTATCCTAGTTTCTGTTTGGGGGTTGGGGAATATTATCCCTTAAAGAAACATATTTGTAAAATATTATTGATGCAAATGTCTCTTAGCCTCAAGTGGAAAGGCTAAAAATGATCATACAACATTATTAAACATTATAACCATGTCATATCCTTTCTTTCCTCAGAGGAGCTCTTTAATTTTTAAGTTCTTATCTCTTAAATTTCCCTGAATTTTATAATTTATTCTATTATTTCAATCATAAGCAAATAAAAAATAATATATTGTATAGGGCCCAGTGTTATATTTAAAAAAATAATAAAAATAAATGTACATTCTATAAAGTATCATACACTAATAGTGTCAGGTAAAACATTAGTCTTTATCATAGATCCCAACTTCCCTTTTTGGTAGCGAAGGGGGTAGAAATAAAGATAGATATATAAATTAAATTTTCTGTGTATACTCCTGATAGTTTTTAATCAAAAATTATCTATCACAAGCCATCTATTCTCTAATAATTTAGAATCATTTCATATGGCAGAAAAATTAATTTTCATCAAAATGACCAAAGGAAAAGAAAACTAAACCAGGTTTGAGTTTCCTGAGTACACAGAGATATAATTCCACAGCCTAAAGAACCCCAGTGTCTTAAATTTTCACAGAAATTAGCAAAGAAATTCCAGAATAAAAAAAACATATGCTTGGGCACCTGGGTGGCTCAGTTGGTTAAGCAACTGCCTTCGGCTCAGGTCATGATCCTGGAGTCCCGGGATCGAGTCCCGCATCAGGCTCTCTGCTCGGCAGGGAGTCTGCTTCTCCCTCTGACCCTC